TCTCTCTCTCTCTCTCTCTCTCTCTCTCTCTCTCTCTCTCTCTCTCTCTCTCTCTCTCTCTCTCTCTCTCTCTCTCTCTCTCTCTCGTGAGTGAGTGTTGGTGCGGTTAAACCACTGCGATGATGTGTCCACAATGACCACAACTCAAAACTTTGTTGCAGGGTGTTGTGACTCATTGACAGGTGGATAAAATATAAATGGAAATGAACATTACGAGAGGCAGTGGTATGTCTAGAAAAGCGGGATTCCACTTTTCGGTGCTCAGTTAGGAATGGAACACTGAACGTGTCTTTTTATTGTTGTGTTTGTAGTAGTGAGGCAGGATAAAAAAACGAACTTCGTGGAAGGGCCAAGTAGTAAGTCCATTATGCATGCAAAGCGTTTGGCATTGTAGGTGTGAGGGCATTTCATATCCTGTATAGTCGACAGAGCAGATGACGGACGACCACATGGTGTGTGAATGTGGTCGACTTTTCAGTTCATTAAGGACATTAAACTCTCATCGTGCGAGGGCATGTCCGGTGTTAACGAGTCGTAGATCAAACGATGACGGCGGACAGAGCCGGGACAACAGATCCGAGGGGGAGGACGACGTGCCGGATGGTGATGGTCTGGGAGAGATCATTGTCGACCTCGCTGTGGAAGCCGAAATGGAATGTGGTTCCGAGGAAGATCCCCCCGATGTGCGGGCGTTTGACACATCCCGCAGACTGACTGCGATCATGTTGTCCTCTAGGGGTGGCTTAGGGATGTCACTTAACGACATCGACGCTCTTCTCTCAGTACTGAGAGATCCAAGCTTCTCGCCGCAGGAAATCGTGTACCGCAACAACCGTGAGTTTTTACGTTGGACGAGCAGGCAGGCAGAGACAAACGGGTGGCGGGAGATAAATCTCAAAAGTGATGACTGGCCATCGGATGCACATGACGTGCTGTGGTACCGAGATTGGCGCACGACTTTCACGTCACTGCTCAAAGCAGCGACGAGGAACATGGAAACGGTGTCGTGTCTCTCCCCCCCCCCCCCCCCCCAGAACCCACAATAGACAACGCTCGCCGTGAAGCATTGTGGCATCACGTGCAGACCGTCATCAGAGCACACAAAGGCGTAGATAAGAATGGCAGAACACGGTATGCAGTGCCAATCTGTCTGTATTCTGACAAGACACATGCAGATGGACAGCAGAAACAAACAATATATCCATTAATGATGTCAATAGGTGACCATGCACATGACGCGACACTTCTCACGTATCTTCTTGTCCTCCATCACCGCCCAGGAGACAAGGGATGGGGTTTGCAAAGCACCGCATTCAGGCAACGGAAAACCGTCATATTGCACTCAGCTCTGTCTGCGGTGTTGCAGGCTGCGAAGCACGCATCGCATAATGGCATTGTTTTTTACAATGAGCGCTGGGGAGAAGTAACAGTGCACCCTTTCCTGCTGAATTATATTCAAGATTACCCTGAGAGGTGCGCCATAGCAACGGTTCGATACGGTGTTTGCGCGACATGCACAATGTCAAAATCACATTTTGATGTCATTGCGGACTTCAATAACTGTCGTCGATCACAAAGCAGGGAACGTGCACTTCTAACTGAATTCCACACGACAGACAACGATGATGTTCGTCGCTTGGCGAAAACATAATTGTCGACCTTGAAAATGCACACGCATGTGAAAGAGAACGGCCTATGGGGGTTTTATAGAGGTCCTGAAGACGATGATCCGATGTTCGACTACCACCTAGCTCTGCAACCAGACCGCATGCACACCATTGAGCACGACATTTTTTTTGCACATGTTAGACGCTTTCAAAGCAGTTGCCTTTGACAAGTTAAGCCACGTCCCACAAAGCCATGTGTTGAAGGAGTTGGATGCGAGGTTGCAGACGTTGAGCGAGAGAAGCAGTACTACGTATCTGCAACTTGTGCTACTTGTTGCAACTACTTTTCACGAGAGGGCCGTTTCGAAGCTAAGCAAAACTGGTCAGTCATGACAATGTGCGTATTCGTAGTGTCCAACATAGTCCCCGGTTCAGTAGGGAAACGAATACCATCTTGTTTCAAGAAACCAATGGAACTGTACATCTCAATGTTCCGGTGCACAAAGCATTCTTGTCATTTGCTTGACGCATGTGACAATCTGATGACGGAATTCATAACAACCCTCAAATAGGTCCTGGGTCGTTATCAAACCTCCAACTGGAAAGTGCCGAAGTTACATGACCTTCTGCATTTGAGGGCGTGCATCAAACGTTCAGGTCTCCCTGACAGCTTCGCGGCCGATGT